TATAATTAGTATTCTATATTTCTATTAAAGTTCTGGAATTACAGAACAGACTTTCTATTCTGAAATGGCCAGTACCATGGCACAGATGTATTTCCTCAGCAGATGTCTCCTCCTCATAAAGGCTGCGGAACTGCTAATGAGATGTGATAGAAAAGTGTTCTTCCCACGTCCCCTGCCAGGACTTTGGGCCCTCAGTGCCTCTGCAATGGAATGAGCAAGGGAAGTGTGTTGTGTCTATACTGTTGGGTTTAGAGACTGCCTATCTTTTGGAACTCGAGTTGGCACAGTAGATCTTTTAATATATATATATATATATATCATTTTCAGTAGTGTGTGTATCAAAGTAATGTGATTTTTTTTTTCATTATCTTAATTTTGTGAGTCAAAACAATTTGGTTCTTGCAGAAAGTAAAAGACAAGAAATGAGCTGTGGGACCGGTGCCGCGTCTGTTCTACTTGGACCCGCTACTGCTCTTAGGCTGTGGAATATTTCACTTCCTTAATAAGAATTGGCATTCCTGACAATTGTGCTTCCCGAGTGTGGGATGTGCTTCCCAGGTGTGGGATGGGGCCACTGGTGGGTGTGACTTTTGGTAGCACTTGAGGTGATTTCTGAAGGTTCTGTACTGATATTAAAAAAACAAACATTAAATTACGTGATGAGTTAGTTGTTCTCGATTTTCTTTCAATCTCAGTTGTAACAGCAAAGATAGACTTCTGCAGCCAGAATATCCTTAACACTCTATCACTTGTTAATTTCCCCTTCGTAGCAAAGAGAGAAGTTCCCAGGCAACTGGATCCAGCTAGAAATGAATAACATCAATTTTCGTTGTGTTTACTTTTATGGTTTCCTTCCACTTATGGCAGACAATCTTGGTTTTCTGTTTCCTAGAGTGATACATTTCATTTTTTAATGATGGATATTAAAAAGTGAGCCAATTTAAAGAAAAATGCTAGTAATAGCTGAGGTCTCTAGGGAGCACACTTGGAGGGCCATTGCTGGGTGCAGAGAACAGTGCCTGGCCCTGGCTTCACCTGAGACTCATCTGGGGAGCTTAAAGATCCTGATGCCTGGGCTTCAACCCAGATCAAGTAGCTCTTACTCTCTGACGCTGGGGCACAGGCATCAGTGTTTGACTAAAACATCACAGGTGTTTCCAGTGGGTAGCTGAGGTTGGGAATCCCTGCCCACCTATCCTGGAGCAGCATCCCCACCCTCTGACTCCACATCTTTTTTGGGGGTGGGGGTGGGAGATATGGAGTCTCACTGTGTCATCCAGGCTGGAGTGCAGTGGCACAATCTCGACTCACTGCAGCCTCTGCCTCCTGGGTTCAAGTGATTTTCTTGCCCTAGCCTCCTGAGTATCTAGGATTACAGGTACTTTTTGTATTTTTGGTAGAAACAAAGTTTCACCATGTTGGCCAGGCCGGTCTCGAACACCTGACTTCATGTGATCCGCCTGCCTTGGCCTCCCAAAGTGTTGGGATTTGACTCCACATCTTGATTGCATATTTCCCTTGTTTCTCTCTTCTGTCTCCAGCCCTTGTTCTCGTCTACTTCCCCACTTCAATTTCCCTCTTATTTTCTCTTTCCTAGCTTCTCCTCTTCCAGCTTCCTTACAACTATTCCTGTGAGTAATGCCCCTAGCATTGCCTCTTAGCCTAAGACATTCTTGAAACCATGCAGTTGCAGGCCCTGTTCGCAGATTGCCACATTGTACTGTTCTCCTCGGCATTTGCAGATGCTGTCGATGCAGTTTCTGGACATCTAAGCCTTGTTGATTTTCTTCTCCACCAGTGACTTGTATTAAGAACAATTAGGATCATCACTATCATGCTCTCACCATGTGCCAATCACTGTTCTAAGCACTTAATATGTATGAGCCTACATAATCCTGACGAAGGAGATACAAGTTTTGAGATGAGGAAACTTGGGAGATAAAATAACTTGCCCACAACTACAGAGTGGCAGAGCCAGAATTCAAATGCAGGCAGCCTTGCCCCAGATCCCACACTCCGAGCAGATGGGACCCCCAAGTTAGTTGCTCATAATCCTGATTAAGGTGTCCTGGCATGCCATGAGTCACACATCACACAGGCTGTTCTCTGCTGCGATAAGAAATTGAAATTTGGACCCACTGTCCGCCTCAATGACATTTGGAATTGATAACTCTTTTTATTTTCTACTTAAATGATAGTATCTCAGTAGGAAGCTCACAGCTTTAAATCCCATCAAGATTTTAACTCATCACCATTCAGAAGAGATCATACTTCCATGATTGTGTGTGTGTATGTATGTGTGTTGTCAGGAATATAAATTGAAGACTTAAAAGCAGATGCCCACAATAATTCTGCAACCCAGGAGCTCTTGGTGGCCTTGATAAGGGTCTTCATTGGCTTATCCTGTATGTGACCTTCTGCAGCCTCCAGTGTTAGACATTCTGGGGCATTTTCTACCTTTAAAAAGCAGCTGATTCTCATTCTGGTGTTTAATCAGAGATAGACCATTGGCCTCTTTCCACTCCTCATGAGAGAGCTCCATTTTTATGCTCACATTTTTCATCTTTTGTGATACTTAGGGTTGATGTTTTAGGGGCAAGACCTTCTGCATTGGATTAAAACCTTTCACAGGAGCTTGGTGAATTCTTGAGTGCCCAGGTTCCCTGGGGGCCTCCAACCCTCTGGATTTCAGAATGATAAGAGTGGACACAAGTCTGAAACGCTGTTTCCGGGCTGTAGTGAGCACTCACATCATGGATTTTTTTTTTTTCCATTTTCTAAGACCCCAACAATGTAAGGTTTTTTATAAACATTATTTTCTTTGATTTTCCCAACAGTCTGTACCACTGGAATTATGCCCCTCTTCATTTTTCTAGATGAAGAAACAGAGGCTCAGAGACTCAGCTTCCCTGTGCTCAGGGTTACCTGGTGAGACACCTGCTGAGCCACGGGGATCATGCCTGTTTGTTTTATTTATGTGCTCCCCGAGATGAATGAGGTCAGATACTTTCTTAGGAGAAGACATACTTGGAAGGCACCAGTGGGGTGTGATAGACATATGTTCAGCTTCTCTGTGGCTAGCAGACCTGAGCCAGTCCCCTCCCCTTCTCTGACTATTTGAATTTAGTCCCATCTGTTACCCACCTCTGTAAGGTTGCCAGGTAAGGAAGACATAAGGCTGTTGGCTGGCAGGAGACAGCACACAGTAGGTCCACAGACTAGTAAAGGCAGTGCCTATTTCTGACTTCTGATCCTAGGGCTGTACCTCCCACATGTTTGTCCAAAGACCCAACATCTTTAGGGTTCTCCCCTGCCCCGCCCCCTTCCCATCTAGCCCTGCCCACTGCCAACTCCAGTGCTTGCTTCTAAATTCCTCTCTAATTCTTAGTTTAACAATCAAACTATGCTGATAAACTATGCTATTTGCCTAGATCCATGGTTCTGGACTTTTATGGACATCAGAATCACCTGGAGGCTTGGTAAATATAGCTCATTGGACTCCACCCCAGAGTTCTGATTCAGAAGGTGATGCCAGTTCCGCTGGACCAGTTCCAGGGACCACACTGTGGGAACCACTGGACTGGGGAGCCTGGTCCCAGTTATACGCGTGCTGATGGTGTCTGACCAGTTAGGGATCTGATAATTCTGCCTTACTGGGGAAGATGCCATTGGAAGATAACGAGGAAGGCATTTGGGGTAGGAGGCTGAAGGCTTTGTCTATTCATCATAGCAGTGGATAAATTACCTTTTACATTGATGTGCAGTGGCTTTAGACAGCTTCTCACTGTTGTGAGCCTCTGCCAGCCATTGAATCTCAGACCTGCCTTCCTCTGGGTGAAATGGCCTTTCTTTCTAATTATTTTTGATTCCCATATCAGGTTTTTCAAACTAGGATTGCATTGAAAGCACCTGGAGGTCTTGTTAAAGTGAGGATTCAGAGTTATTAAGTCCAAGGATAGGGCTCACGGTTCTGCGTGTCTAATGAGCTCCCACGTGATGTAGATGCTGCGGGTCCATGGACCAGCACCTCGTAGCAATTCTGAATTATAGCTGTGTATAGCTTGCCCCTGCTGCCCAATAGAATCACCCAAGGAGCTTTTAAAAACAAATACTTGGCCAGGCTGGGTGGCTCACGACTGTAATCCCAGCACTTTGGGAGGCCAAGGCGGGTGGATCACAAGGTCAGGAGTTCAAGACCACCCTGACCAACATGGTAAAACCCTGTCTCTACTGAAAATACAAAAATTAGCCCGGTATGGTGGCCTGTAATCCCAGCTACTCGGGAAGCTGAGGCAGGAGAATCACTTGAACCCAAGAGGCGGAGGTTACAATGAGCCAAGATCATACCACTGTGCTCCAGCCTGGGCGACAGAGCGAGACTTTGTCTCAAAAACAAACAAATAAAAACCAATATTTGAGCCACATTCCCTGGAAATTATAGTTTAATTGTGGGGTTTAGAATTTTTAACACCCCCATTCCCCAACCCCCATGTGATTTCAATGTACAGCCAGGGTTGGAAACCATTGGTCGTTACCCACAAAATGGGGTAACACCTTCCCAGAGCTCAGCTCCATGTGAGCGCCAGAGACTAGGTCGGACTGGCTGCTTCCGTGTAGGGAGGGTGCACCATACTCCTGGGAAGCTGCACAGGTCACCTGGGAATCTTGTTAAATTGTGGATTCTTCTTGGTCAGGTTTGGGGTGGGACCTGGGTTTCTGCATTTCTAATAGATAATCTGAGTGTTGCTGATGCTGCCAGTCGAGGCTGGTGCTGAGTCTCCAGACGCGCCCACAAGGGCCCACATGATGCCCGTTATCTCTGCCAGTGATGGCAGCGGGTACCTTTTCTCAAGCCGAGCATTAGAGGCTTTTGTTTCCACCTTTTCTCTCCCTAAACGCCATCCTGACGTCTCTTTTATTCAGCTTGGTATTGACACAGGACACTGGGCAATATAGGTTTGTTCTCTTTTTGTAATCTTTTCTTCCTTCTCTCTTCACAGTACGAGACGCAAAAAATCTAATCCCTATGGACCCAAACGGGCTTTCAGATCCTTATGTGAAGCTGAAACTCATTCCTGATCCCAAGAACGAAAGCAAACAAAAAACCAAAACCATCCGCTCCACGCTAAATCCCCAGTGGAATGAGTCCTTTACCTTGTAAGTGGTCCCTCTCCTTGATAAAATTTCGTTCCCATACGCCATGCAGTTGCCCACCTCATTATTTGAGATGATGAAGTAGGCTGCTTATAAATGTCTTTAAACATGTCTTCAGTCCTAAGATCTCCTCAGGCTGCCATTAGGGAGGTAGCTATTAGTACCTGTTGGATAGATGGTAATTATGATACCAAGAGTTGCATAATTCAGGCCTCAAATTATTATTATCTAATCTGGATAAATGTATCAGGTATGTCCACCTCTTGATGGATTTAGGTTCTTTTGAGAGTTAGGGGAGGGCATAAGGCGAGAATTTAAATAATTTTTAGATCACAGAATGAGTGAGTGACATAGAAAGTGTTATTGCCACTGAAACGGGAAGATCATTCTTGCCTTCAAAGAGAGAATTCCTGGAAAATGTGACATTTAAAGTCAGCCTGGGAGGGCTGCCCGGGTTTCAGAGGTAGAGACGGTAGAAGGGGAAGAAGGAAATAAATAAGTCAGGAGGACTGAGGGCAGCTGAGCAAAAGCAAGAGGTCCTCTTTGTAGACTAGTAACAGGAGGCAGTTTTTCTGTGGACAGCCAGAAAGGTAGCTCTCTATTCTAGAGGGACCAGCAAGTTCTGCTCTGTGAAGGACCAGAGAGTATATATTTGAGGCTTTGTGAGTCATACGGTCTCTGTTGCACCTCTGTAACTCTAACTTTCTAGTGCCAAAGCAGCCATAGACAATATGGAAACAAATAGCCATGGCTGCATTCTAATAAATCTTTATTTATAGAAATAGACTGGGCCAGATTTGGCCCATGGGTCATAGTTTATTAACTCCTCCTGTAGAGCTTTGGTTGCCAGCATAAGGTTTGGTATTTTACTGGACCAGTAAGAGAATTAAATATACTAATTCTCTATCTCAGTCTCAAGTCACGTACATGTGTTATCTCCCAATAAAACCACAAGCAAGATAACCTGGTGTTTGCGTGTGTGTGTGTGTGTCTTGCAGCAAATTGAAACCTTCAGACAAAGACCGGCGACTGTCTGTAGAAATCTGGGACTGGGATCGAACAACAAGGAATGACTTCATGGGATCCCTTTCCTTTGGAGTTTCGGAGCTAATGAAGATGCCAGCCAGTGGCTGGTATGGAAGCCATTTAGGTTGAATATGTCTCAAAGCATCAGACCATTTAGACAGTTAGGCTTAAGTCCCTAAAATGTCAGTTGAGACAGGACATGGTGCCTTACACCTATAACGCCAGCACTTCAGGAGGCTGAGGCAGGTGGATTGCTGAGTCCAAAAGTTTGAGACCAGCCTGGGCAACATGGAAAAACCCCATCTCTACAAAAAATACAAAAATTGGCCGGGTGTGGTGGTATGCACCTGTAGTCTCAGCTACTCAGGAGGCTGAGGTGTGAGGATCACTTGAGCCCAGGAGGCTGCACCATTGCACTCCAGCCTGGGCAACAGAGCTATCCTGTCTCAAAAAATAAAGAAAGAAAGAAAATAAAGAAAAAGTCAGTTAAACGTCTACTTATGGCCAGGCTGGGTATGGTGGCTCATGTCTATAAACCCAACACTTTGGGAGGCCAAGGAGGGCAGATCACGAGGTCAGGAGTTTGAGACCAGCCAGTTCGAGACCATCCTGGCCAACATGGCGAAACCCTGTCTCTACTAAAAATACAAAGATTAGCCAGGTGTGATGGTATGCACCTGTAATCCCAGCTACTTGGGAGGCTGAGACAGGAGAATCTCTTAAATCCGGGAGGCAGAGGTTGCAGTGAGCCCAGATCACACCAGTGCACTCTAGCCTGGGTGACAGAGTGAGACTCTGTCTCAGAAAAAAGGAAAAAATGTCTACTTATCTGGCTGTAGTCTCTCCATAGCATGCATTTCACAAAACAGCTTGACTAGAGGCTGCAGAAGACTTGCTAAGCTTACAGTCGTAACCCTTTTTCTCCTGTCTTTGGAAGGTACAAGTTGCTTAACCAAGAAGAAGGTGAGTACTACAATGTACCCATTCCGGAAGGGGACGAAGAAGGAAATGTGGAGCTCAGGCAGAAATTCGAGGTGAGGATAACAAAACGCCTGGAAACACCATTCCTTTCTAAAGCCCGACTTCAGGAAGGGCCGAGATGTTGCGGTCACATTTTTGAAAGGCAAAAATTAATCTAAATGTTCCTGATCTTTTTCTTTATTGAGAAACATAAATGTTGCGTGTTCCCTTTCCTTTGCAAGCCATTGACATTTTATGTCTCTTATCACTTAGAAATGGAAACTGGAACTGTCCCAGAAATGAAAGCATGCTTGATTTCTACATAAGAAATCAAGGCACATCACTGGGGAGAGAAGCAGAGTTCAGAGGGCGGGATTGTTCTCACAAAGGAGGACTTGTGCTCTTCTGGAAAGGAGGAATTCATTTTGGCCTCTTCTTGGGAGCTCATTTGTGTGGAATCAGACTGTCATCTGAGATTTTTTTTTTTTTCTACGGAAAGTACAAGGTTCCTAATTTTGTTCTGAAAGACCAGCTTAAACAAATATGCCTTTGTCTTCCATCCCTTTTTGCTTAGCTCCGATGTTTAGCAGAGGCCTCCTCCTCCTCCTCTTCCTCTTCCTCTGCGTATTGGTGTTCAACTCTGTCACGGGTTCACTGGTCTTTTCATCTCCTCCTCTGCTCCTTACTTCTCTTTTTCTTCTCTCTCTCACTTCTCCCCTTTGTTTACCAGGCATCTCAGCTTTTGGTAAACAGTTTTTTTTCTCTAAGCACCTGCCTTATGTTTTAAAGTCACAACTTGATATTTTTCTATTTCTCTCATAACCCTTCATTTTGGCTGTTTGAGGGATTCCTATAGTCGCCTTTTCAGTCTGTGTAACTGGTTAATTCCTTTTTGAATGTTTCTATTCTTCAGCCTAGTTAGAATTCCTGGAATTTCCCCCACTTTAGAGCAGTACACATGCACGCACACACACGTGTATCGATGCTGAACTGTTACTGAAATGTTGACACCGATGGCATGCTGATGCTCTTGTTTTCCTCCTCCTGTTGTTCTCCAAGAAACATATAGATATGGGGGTAGGGAAGAGTGGCAGTGGGTGGGGGAGAGGAAATAAACCTTCTTCATGCCTCCTGCAAAAGAAACATACAGTTCTTATCCAGAGAAAATGAATCTCAAAGGATGTAAAACATGCAGTTGTTCAAATTACTTTGTTAAACTGATGTTTGGTTAAAGTTGATGTTGGTGGCAAATACTAAATGGCAGGGGCTGTTCGGTTAGATGTCCTTGGGAGCACAAATGAGTGAAATGAGTCACAGATAATCTCAATAAATGGTAATGAACAGCAGGCCTCAGGGTTGAGGCAATAGGGAGTGGTGGAGACTGGGGTGTTCCCAGCTTGAGCCCTGTCTGAAGGTGGCTGCTGCTGCTACCTCACCCCAAACGATGTTTCCCACATGCACATCCAGGCCCTGTGTTGCCAGATCTTCCTTCTTCAAGAGAAGCCAGAATTCCAGGTTTTTTCTGATTTCTCTTAATGTTGGCAGAGTTCTAATGTTAAAACTTAGAACCAGGCCAGGTGCAGTGACTCACGCCTGTAATCCCAGCACTTTGGGAGGCTGAGGCAGGCATATCACTTGAGGTCAGAAGTTCAAGACTGGCCAGCATGTCGAAACCTGATCTCTCCTAAAAATACAAAAATTAACCAGGTTTGGTGGCATGTGCTTGTAGTCCCAGCTACTCCAGAAGCTGAGGCACAAGAGTCGCTTAACCTGGAGATGTGGAAGTTGCAGTGAGCCGAGTTCGTGCCATTGCACTTCAGCCTGGACTACAGAGCAAGACTCTGTCTCAAAAAAAAAAAAAATTAGAACTGTCTAGATGTGGTAGCTCACACCCGTAGTCCCAGCACTTTGGGAGGCTGAGGCAGGCAGACTGGTTAAGTTGGCGAGTTTGAAACCAGCCTAGGCAACATGATGAAACCTAGTCTCTACAAAAAAATACAAAAACTAACAGGGTGTGGTGGCGTGCACCTGTAATCCCAGCTACTCAGTGACTGAGGGACGAGAATCACTTGATCCCAGGAGGCAGAGGTGGTAGTGAGCCAAGGTCATGCCACTGCACTCCAGCCTGGGCAACAGAGTGAGACCCTGTCTCAGGAAAACAAACAATAAACTTAGAACTCTGTGTAGGTCAAATATACATCTATCGCTTTAGAGACCAGTAGAATTCAACCAGTAAGAACCAGCTTGTAATCTCTGCTCTTCAAAAATACAGGAGAGAAAATGTAATTTTAAAAATTATTTGTACCATTATCTATATTACAATATGTATAAATATATGTATGTATATATGTATGTATCTACTATTTGTCTGTCTATCTATCTATCAATAGAGAAAAGAATGAGATTCTTTTCAAAGAGGCCTTATAAGATTTAAAGGAATTCAAGCACAGAGATGAGTCAGGGTTTCGGGCAGGGTCCAATGTCTGTGCCAGGTGTAGCTCTTTGTCAGTTTGTATTTCTTCCCCTGCTTCATTATCTGTTTCCACCCCTACCCTGCAGCTCAGGATGCAGACCTGGGGTACTGCACAGGGCCACCTTCTTGAGCCCCATCTCTGATGTCACACCACTTCTGTGACAGTGGATCCTTCTAGAGAGAGTTTCAGAACTGAGTGCCAGCATTACGGAGCTGTCTCAGGGAGGAAGGAACCTGAGGAACTAGAAGGAACCTTCCTTACTAAATGTCATGCCATGGTGTTGATAGCAAGCAGTCACTAGGTCAGGGGCCGCTTGCACAGAAAGAATGCATTCGAGGGAGGAACGGCATGGGCGTCAGCATGGGGTTCCTCGCAGTCCTGTCTGAGACTTAGCTTTGCTGGTAGAGAAATATTGACCCCCTCTTTCTGCTTCATTGTTACGGCTTCCTGGTGAGTAAACTTCCTGTTTTTCTGGGCAGTGAGTTCAGCTTTTTATAAAGGTCAGAGTTCTAAATAAACAAACAAAATACAGGCCCCAGGGCCTGGGCAAAGGAAGCATTTCTCTTGGGAGGCTGGTCAGAGGCTGCGGGGGTGTTGCCAGTGATTGTTCATCCTCCTGGGAGGGCTGTGGGCTTTGCAGGAGTGCCAGCCCAAGGCTGTGCAGCATCAAGGGGAGAGGTGGCATCAGCAGAGGTGCATGGGGCGGAGGCTCCGCTCTTCACCCTACTGAGGTCTGTGCTTGGAATATCTGCATGAACTGCATTCTAGCTTTTTCTTTAAATACATTTCAGCTTATATTTCCTAGATTTTACTCGAATTACATTAGCTCATTTGCTTAGAGCACTTAGAAAAACACAACTGTGAGAGACTGGGCGGAAAGCCACTAGAAGATGGTGTCAAAAAGATGCCGAGAATTTTACGACATGTGCCATGCATCGTTGTGAATGCATATTCAGAGCCGATTTTAGGGAGAGGTTCAATCATGTAATGGTGTTTAGTTGAGGTCTATAAATGTGAGAGGTGCAAGACTTTCCCAGTGCCAAGTTACTGGGAAGGGAGGCACCGGGGCAGAAAGGCTGGCATCCACATTTGAGCAGTTCTGGGTGGCAGCCAGGCTTTGCAAACAGGGTGCCAGCTGGCCTTAGGTGCAGTGTGAGGAACCTCTTTGAACCCACATACCATGTCCTCCCTCTCAGCCTCTAGCACGAGCGCCTCCCACTGTCTCTAGGCTCCCCTCTCTGAGTCCTTTCTCACCAAATAACTGTCATGCTAACTTGCTTTCCAACATGTGTCTTTTCTTCCCTACACACTCTTTAATAGATACTTTGCCACCCTCCAGTAACAGTTCGATTCAGCTGAGTAAGATTTTTTTGTTAAGTTCAATGATGAATCTCTATTGGTTGAAACACACATGAGGGTTTGTCCTGTTGGGAACAGGCATCGCTCAGTGGCATCACACAGTATCCAGTCTGTCCTTAACCCTCCCCATGTCCAGCTCTGTTTTCTAAAAAGGGTTCCCTCCATGCAGTTTTTAAATCCTTCTTCAGAAATCAAGTCATTCGGCTGGATGAAAGGGAAATCAAATGAGCATTCACAACTCTGCCACCGCATTAGTATTCATTTGATCATTAGGTGGAAAGTTTTTTCAATTTAAATGGTTGGTTCTGGAATCTTGGCAAACAGAATGATCCCTGAGTGGAGCTCTTAGGAGCCAAGGAAAATTCCAGGGTGGCTGGAGACAGCCTTCCTCGCTCGTACAGATCCTGCTTCCCAGAGCAGTTCATCCTTCTACAAGACAAAACACACCAGAACCTCGATTGCGATGTTCATGGCCAGTGTGTCTGTGGGCCTTTAATCTGTTCCATGTTTGTCTCAAGTAAAGTACACTTGGTCCGTGATTCACAAACATAAATGATACATTTTTCCATTTGTTAAAAAGGTAAGGTGCCAGCAGCAGGCTAAGCAGACGGTTCCTGCTTTCTGTGAAGTTACGTCCTGTACCTATGGTTCCTGCTGCAAAAAAAATCTTTCAGAACAAAGCAGGGAGCTTATCATATCCCCTGTGCTGGCTGTGATTCCCCTGAATCTCCAGGCACTACTGAGGACAACTCAGATTCCTGTTCCTCCCCCTCACTTCTTGGTCTCGGCTCCCTGTGATGAGGCTCATGGCCAGAGTTGGGAAAAGGTCCACCTTGCATTAGAGGTGGTGCAGAGGATGAGTTAGCTCTGCTCAGCAAACTTTTTCTGAAAATAGTCAGATAATAAATAATTTAGGCTTTCTAGGCCATGCAGTGTCTGGTGTAACACTCAACTCTGCTGTTGCAGCTCAGAAGAAGCCACAAATACATAAACAAATGAGTGTTGGTGTATTCCAGTAGTACATTACTTACAAAAACAGGTGGTGGCAGACCAGATTTGGCCCAAGGGCCAGAGTTTGCCAACTTCTGGCTTAGCCCATAGGCTCTGGAATCAAATCTTAGTTTTGTCACTAATTTACTACATGACCTCTCTGTGCATTGGCATCCTTAACTGTAAATGGAAGTAACAGATCAGGACAACTAGTTCTATTATTCCATTAGTTATAAATAGAACTAATGTCC